GACCATTTTCTTTTATTTCCACCATAGATTTTTATTTGGATTGAGGCCCAGACTTTTTGCAGGCCATGCCTTTCACATTATATGTCTTTCCTGAAGGAAAGTTTTCACAGCTTTTGCCCTATGACAAGATGCATTATCATCCTGAAAGCAATCTGGTCTAGCTGCCACATCTTTTATCAAACATTACAGGCTGAATCTTTTGGCAAATTGGGACTTGTTCTTTGGGAAAAAAGTTTTGACAGGCTTGGTACAACACTTAAGAACTTCTCATCATGTCTGGGTTGTCTGCTGTGGAGGAGGAGAGGGAAGTTCAAGATTAGTTTTATCAGGAATGTGGTTTTCAGGACTCCTCCATGACAGCCCAGTAGTGCATCCTTGTAAGTAGGTAAAATTCAAACCAATAAGGATATAAAGGTGAAAGGGGCCTTTTAAGCCAGTCATACATGGATCGAAATTTGGCCAGTTCAGCAGAGACCTGCTGAGATTCGATCCATGAATGGGCAGGCTGGTACAACCGGCGATCTTCACACATGTGAGGTATCACCACGAACATCAGATCATGGGCAGTAATTCTAGCACTGGACCTCCTCTGTAAATATACAGTGTTAACCTGTAAGGGCTTTTAAAGCGTCACATATGGGTAGTAAAATTTATGTTGTTTGCCTCCTTTGCACGGGTGTGCCCAATTTTAAAGCATTACATGTTTGGTATCTATTTACTTGGTGAAACATCATATTTTATATTTTACCAAAAAAATGGGTTATGTATTGTGGGTTTTTTTAATTATAATTCAAAAAAGTGTATTTTTAACAAAAAAATTGCGTTTGAAAATCCGCAGCGCAAATACTGTGTAACATAAATTAATTGCAATACCTACCAATTTATTCTCTAGGACCTCTGCTTTGAAAAATATATTTTTGGGGGTTCTGAGTAATTTTGTAGCAAAAAAAAAAGATTGTTACATGTGAACAAAAATTGCCAGAAAAGCCTGCTTCTTAAGTGGTTAAAATTAGGACAGAAAACTGCACAGCAGGTATTGTGGCATTTTTAAAAGTATGATTGATTGCTTCAAACTGGAGTTAAGATTTAAACTGCACTTCTACAACCCTTTTCATCGCTTCCCAATTTTTACAGCTGCCAGTGTAAGAATGGATCCTTTTGATGTTTTAAATTTATCAAGAGTTTACCATCCTTTATAGCTTGACTCACAATTTCACAGTAGATTTATGTTAAATTGCCTTGTGGATTGTGGTATGTATGTATGAATACTTCTGAAGTATGTCTGCTTTATAAATCTAGCAAGAGAAAGTTCTATGCATGTGGTTCAATTGAGCCCCTGGCACAGAGAACCCAACAGGAAGCTTCCAGATATATATTCAATGGGCACTTTATTATGTATGTACACCTGTACACCTGTTCAATTGCTTGTTAACACAAATTTCTAATCAGCCAATCACATGGCATTAACTCAATACATGTAGACATGGTGAAGACAACTTGCTGAAGTTCAAACTGAGCTTCAGAATGGAGAAGAAAGGGGATTAGTGACTTTGGACATGGAATGGTTGTCGATGCCATACAGGCTGGTCTGGTCTGAGTATTTCAAAAATTGCTGATCTGGGATTTTCACACACATCCATCTCTATCACCTTGTTGAATCTTTGCCACAAAGAATTAAGGCAGTTCTGAAGGCAAAAGGGGGTCCAGCCCGGTACTATCAAGGGGCTGGTGAGTGTATATGGATGCTTTCTGTGTGCTTGTGTTTTCGGTTGAATGCTACTTACCATAGTCTTGTGGAATTTACTGAGCAGTTCAAAGTCAGTGCCAAGCAGGAGGCCAAAGGACAATTCCTGTTCCCTTCATTTCAGTGTAGATTCCTAGCACTCCATGCACTGCCTGCCTAGTATACTCTGGGTATGAGTTCAGTGAGCCCTACTAGCAAATCTCCTTTCTCTTTGCATTGAATAGGGCAAGGGCACATATTACATTGTAAACAAGTGTTAACTACTACCTACATGTCGAATAAATGTACACATAACGTGCACTAATTGTCACTATTATAAACATCCCTACCTCAGCACATATAATGTACAATGAAGCTGGTATCTGTCTTCTGAAATAATCAGAAAGTAATAAAGTTCCATTTATATTTTTTTTTAAACAGGAAAAACTGCCATTGGCATGTCAGAACTGTCATTAATTGCTTTGGTCAATTGTCACACCTCCAGCTAATGACATATTATCTGAATGTCACAGATAAGGACATGTATTGCCTGTAGTAAGTGCATGTAATGCGTCTTGTGACACTGTGTCCTTTTATACGTACCTGCAAATGTGCTTGAGCATAATCATGTTAACGTGAAACCTTGCCTTGCAAAACAACTCATTCATTTTAAAATATAAATTAAAGGCAAAACATTTGTGTATAGATACAGTATATAACATTATAATATTTTTTTCTCTTTTTAAGTGATCAGATAACCTCTGTTCTCAGCAGCATAAGGGGCTTGGAGAGGTGGGGTGGAGAAACAGCAATATACTGGCTTCCCTGTGACTGGCTACGCAGGGGTGGGGGGGAATTGTCAGCACAGGTCTTGACCATTGGAGGACAGGCAGACTGTTCTCCCAGTACAGCCAGAAAACTGACCTGAGATGGATGTGCTTCTATGCCTAGCATGGGTAGCCTGAAATAGAAAAGCAGAGGGACTAGCAGGATCACGAGGTATTTCACACAAAGGAAGAAATACAAAGTGAACATTGTACTTTGTAACCACTTGCCCTCCACCATATAGCACAGCAGAGAGATATAAAGCAGCCTGCCTCCCAAGTAAAACAGTACACAGTAGTAAAACAGCACACAGTTAACCCTTTGATCATCCCACATGTTAACCCCTTTCTGCCCAGTGTCAGTACTTTTTATTAGCACTGATGATCACTGTATTAGTGTCACTGGGGATTTCAGCGGCAGTTAAGTCAGTTTCCAGTGTCAGAATGCCCGACACATTCCCGCTATAAGTTGCTGATCGCCGCCATTACTAGAATAAAACAAATAGAATTCCAGTATATAAACCGCCATTTGTAGACACTATAACTTTCACGTAAACCAATTCATATACACTTATTGGGATTTATTTTAGCAAAGACGTAGCAGAATACATTTGACCTAAATTTATAAAGAAATTAGATTTTTTTTTTTTTTTGGACGTTTTATAGCAAAAAGTCAAAAATATATATTTTTTGCAAAATTGTCAGTCTTTTTTTTGTTTATAGCACAAAAAATAAAAAACCGCAGAGGTGACCAATTACCACCGAAAGAAAGCTCTAGTTGTGGTTAAAAAATTACATAAATTTCATTTATGTACAGTGTTGCATGACTGCACAATTGTCAAAGTAACGCAGCACCATATCGCACAAAATGGCCTGGTTAGGGGGTAAATCCTCTAGAGGGCAAGTGGTTAACATAGTACAACAGACAAATATTAGGAATAAGAAATGTTAGTGTAACATGTTCTTTAAAAGTGTGTTTAAGAAATTAGCCATTAAGAAACCTTTTGTTGAAAGTGTAGATGTCTCATTTTAGCTTGCATCCAAACCTGGGCAGAGCGTATTATTGGTGATGTTGAAGCATTCTCAGACATTTTACAAGCTTTGTGCAAGCGTTTTGGCATGTGTATCAAGCTTCGGGAATTTGTTTTCAGGGCTGGGAAGGGTAAGGAGAACAGTTTTAGAGGAGGAAAGAGGTTCCTCATGCACAAAAAAAAGTATTTTGCAAGCTTACAGGCTGCAATTAAGGATTCTGGGGCCAAAAACACCTGAATACGCTGAAATTCGTGTGAATAGGGACTATTAGAAAGAATGGGATTCTGCGTGTTGAATGTAGTCAGGCTTACAAGTTGAAAAAAAGCTCAAGTTTGAATAAAGGCTTTACTTACTAGGGACCGCAGACCAACCTGTGAAACTTATTTGAAAACGCTCATGATAGAAAGTGCTTTAATATCAGGATTTCAATTTCCATCTTTCATTAACTGCAAAGTTGAATTCCAGGCAAACTGCTAAATATACTGATGAAATATATATAAATAAGAGATCTATCAATAACACTTACAGATCTCTTGCACACCCCCCCACCATGTAACTGTACGGTGAAATGAGATACAGCATGATCATGAATACATGCTTGCTGTCACTATGCTCTATCCTCCTGTCAGTTTGCTCCTTGTACTTCAACATACCCGACTGGACCCTTGTGCTGCTTCTCCCAGTCTGAGCGCTGCCATACAAGGACTGCAAAAGGCTGATAAATTCAGGTACTTAAGGTGCTTAAATTAAAAAAAAAAAAAAATAGATTTGGAATGTATTAATACAGAGCTGAATTAATTTTCTCTAGAGTTCAGCTTTAACTTCACCTCAGTCTTTCCAAAAATAGACAGAACCAGACTTTCTCTAAACTCTGCCCCTTTTCTGACCCTACAACTGTAACCATTCCAAAAATTTTAGGTGGAATGAGACATGTATTTATATGTTCCTAATCACCCGATTTGCAGAATTCTGGCTCAAATAAACTATGTGTAAACCAAAGCTATTGGCTTTGCAAATCAGCATTGTACATGTCTGTGAAATGTATTATATTGATTTTTTTATAGTTAAATTATTAGTAAACCCAGGGAATATAATAAACACTTATAGCAGCAACTAGACAAATAAAACCAGGCAACACAGAGCAGACAGATTCTTTTTATGTTCCCATCAGTGCACAACAATATCTAAGAGCGCTCAAAATCACTTCTACATCCTTCTAAACATAGTTTCGGCTTTCTTATGAATTAGAAGAGTCTAGAAGAACAATTGTTATTTTTTGACATTGTTAAAGGTAAAAAAAAAACTGATCCCAACATTTTCATCATAGGAAATAGGCATGCTTGGACAAAAATGGGGGTAGACAGACTGGCGATCTCAAAAACTCTGCCGGTATTTTCTAAAAAGATAAGAACTTGTTTTCATCAGGCTTCATCCTCTCCTTCTTCCTCTTCAAATTCTCCTTGTTCATCTGCTGTGGCATCTTGGTACTGTTGGTACTCGGACACCAGGTCATTCATGTTGCTTTCAGCTTCAGTGAATTCCATTTCATCCATTCCTTCACCAGTGTACCAATGCAAAAAGGCTTTGCGGCGGAACATAGCTGTGAACTGCTCGGAAATTCTCTTGAACAGCTCTTGAATGGCAGTGCTGTTGCCAATAAATGTGGCAGACATTTTGAGGCCTCGCGGTGGAATGTCACAAACTGCGGTCTTCACATTGTTGGGAATCCATTCAACAAAGTAGCTACTGTTTTTATTTTGGACATTAAGCATCTGCTCATCAACCTCCTTCATGGACATTCTTCCACGGAAAATAGCGGCCACGGTGAGGTAGCGTCCAAGCCGGGGATCACAGGCTGCCATCATGTTCTTGGAATCGAACATTTGTTGGGTTAGTTCTGGCACTGTCAGGGCACGGTATTGCTGACTGCCACGGCTAGTTAATGGAGCAAATCCGGGCATAAAAAAGTGCAGTCGTGGGAAAGGCACCATGTTAACAGCCAGTTTTCGTAAATCTGCATTCAGCTGGCCTGGGAAACGAAGGCAGGTTGTTACCCCACTCATTGTAGCAGATACCAGATGATTGAGGTCACCGTAGGTTGGTGTTGTTAGTTTTAAAGTGCGGAAGCAGATATCATAGAGGGCTTCATTGTCTATGCAATAGGTTTCATCTGTGTTTTCCACCAATTGGTGTACAGAGAGAGTGGCATTATATGGTTCAACTACAGTGTCTGAAACTTTGGGTGAAGGCATCACGCTAAAGGTATTCATGATTCTGTCAGGGTACTCTTCCCTAATTTTGCTGATAAGTAGTGTACCCATGCCAGAGCCAGTCCCACCACCCAGGGAGTGGGTCAGCTGAAAACCCTGTAGGCAGTCGCAGCTTTCAGCCTCTTTCCTCACCACATCTAGAACAGAATCCACCAACTCAGCACCTTCTGTGTAATGACCTTTGGCCCAGTTGTTTCCAGCACCACTCTGTCCTGGGAAGAAAATATTCAATGTTATGTGTCAAGTCCGTTGGTTCACAAAGTAATTTTTGTACCTAAGGATTTGAAAAGTCAGTTTGAAAATCAAATGCCAGAATTTAACATGCAGTAGATATGCATTAATTATACATAGGCAGGGATTTTCTTCAACATGATTGAATAACTGAAGTGAATCTTCACACATTTTATTGTGTGTGAACATTCTCACAACCCCTTATTAAATCAGCCTCTTTGATTTTGAGTTTCTCCACTTCTGGGTCTCTGCCCAATTTAATAAAATAATTTGCAATACCTGGAATTCAACTTTAGTTACATTGATCCAGCTTGGATCAATGTAAGCATGCATATGCGATTCCTGGCACCCTACTACAGTGATTGCTGCTAGCTTCTGGGTCCCATACCGAGGGCTGCACTGCTGCTTACTGAACACAAGGGGTCACATGCTCAGCAATCACAACCCTGACTCTCCACCTAGTCCAGTCAGAGAACTCTTTGTATTCATTGAGAAAATGCAAAGTGTTCCCTGAATGGCACCTGTGGTGAGCAATCAATCTTCTGTGTTCAGAATGCTGCAGGGCAGCCACTTGGCACAAGACCTAGAAGCTAGTGAAGATCACTAGAGCAGTGTAGCCTACTACAGTGATTTCCAGCGTCCAGAGGGATCCCACAGGTGTGCTATATGCATAATTACATTGGTCCAAGCTGGACCAGTGTAAGTATGTAAAAATGCCATACCCAGAATTCTTTAAAGTTCATGTTGCCATTCTTGGGTAATGGGTGGAAAAAGAAAAATGTAACCCAAATTAGTGTCTGAATGTTCTGTAACATTTTACAGAGCTTGCAGAGAAGGCCCTACACTCATTTCACTGACAACCAATGCCAGGGCATTTCTTCCTCCCATTGACCGCTGATAGTCATTTTTTTTTTAACTTCCACTCACCACCAGGACATTGTTTTTCTAATTACACTGATCACCAACTCGGGGCAATTTTTGTTTTTGCCTAATTTTGTGGCTTTTTTTTTTCTACCGCTAACCGCTTGGCCATACTTCTCTCTTGTGGGTAACAGGAGTGCACTCCAGATCCTGGAAGGATCTCTACCATATTGTCGGGATCCACCCAGATGCCTGATTAGCAGCTGGCTCAGCCTTTCAGTGTGCGGCTGAGAGCTAGATCCAGCTATTCCTGCTCCTCCTTAGCCCAGCTTTCACTAAGCACTAGAGGAGCAAAGCAGAGAGCAGTGACTGAGTCGCTGATCTGTGCTCAGAGCTGACCGAGAGTGATCAGCAGTCATGTAATAGCTCAGTTCCCAGGCTTCGAATTGGCAGGGGACAGCTGCAGCATCAGACCACTGCTGCAATATGGAAGCGAGTATGTATGTTTTTATTTGTATCCACCCCAAACCTCTCCTTAAAACAAATATTTTTTTTTGTATATCTGTTACAATGTTTTTTATCTGGGGATTTTGCCAGTAACAGCAGTCCCTGGTGCAGGATGACAATGTTAAGCTGCTGCTTCACTATTAGTAGCAGAGCTTGCCATGCATGCTTCTACAGCTGGCCATTGTGCCACCCAGTTCTGTGCATGCCTCATGCAGGCCTAATATGGTAGCCCAAAGGCCAGCTGAAACAGGCTGACAACGCTGCTGCTAATTAGGAGGCAGGGGCTTAGCTTTGCCAGCTTGCATCAGGGAGTGTTGTTACTGGCAGAATCATCAAATAAGAAACCTTGCAACAGATTAACAAAAAGTGAATTTAAAGGAAAAATATGGCCAAAGTTCTTTTGGCTCTACTTTTCCTGTGGGTCACAGGCGTGCACTTAGTTCTGCACTCCTGTGACCCGTTTTCAGATGACTGCGAGCTAAAGCATGCCGTCGGCTGACGTCACTCAGGCGGTTCAACCTCAGGAAACATCCCAAGTTTACAGTCAGGATCCACCCAGATGCCTGGACCAGCAGATAGCTTAGCCTCTCAGTGAGCCGCTTGCAGCCTGAGCTAGTTTCTCCCTCCCCCTCTACAGACCAGCACTCTAGTGAGCACTGGAGGGGCAGAGCAGAGAGCCGGTCATTGACAGTCCCCAGCTCTCTGCTCACTGAGAGGAAAAGGGGAGCGATCAGTATTGTTTGATCGATAACTTCTCAGTCTAAAATCAGTCTCAGTCGAAAATCAGTCAGTACTACTGACCCACATTCAGCCTGTGTGTACAGTTCCTTATATGACAAAAGTCAACCTCTTCAGCAGCCTTCTGTTGAACAAGCTTGCTGGAAAACAGCAGCCAATCGGCATCCGATCAGCACTCTCAAATCTGCTGTGAACGCTGACTGGTGTGTTATGGCGGGGGTAGGCAGCTCCCTTGTCAGAACCAGGGGCGGACTGACAACTCATGGGGCCCCGGGCAATAGGGGATCATGGGGCCCCTGTGTCCTTGCCCAAACTCAAAAAAGCCTATGAAAAAAGGTACCAGGGGCATCTCATGGGGCCCCCTACTGACCCCAGGGGATCATGGGGCCCCTGTCCTTGCCCAAACTTAAAAAAGCCTATGAAAAAGGTACCAGGGGCATCTCATGGGGCCCCCTACTGACCCCAGGGGATCATGGGGCCCCTGTCCTTGCCCAAACTTAAAAAAGCCTATGAAAAAGGTACCAGGGGCATCTCATGGTGCCCCCTACTGACTCCAGGCCCTCGGGCAGTGCCCGAGTTTCCAAATGGTCAGTCCGCCCCTGGTCAGAACACAATAGCTCAGCGGGGAGATTGTTGTACTAAAATCGCATCATTAGTACATTGATCTCCTGGTGAGCTCCTCAATTTTTTTTTGTCCAGCCTGAAAAAAATGTACCATGTGTACCAAGCTTTAAAGCCGGCGGGGGACAGATGCTGCTTGGATCGATGCTGCATCCACCTACTGTAGGTGAGTATGATTATTTTTGTTTTTTTTCCCCAAACTTTTCTTTTAATAAAACTGTATACAGTGAAGCATGATGCCAAACATACAGATGGGTTTACATACACTCTAAAAGGCTATATGAATAATGTCATAAATGAATTTCAAAGTTTCTATATGTCATACAGCCACTTTCATAAAGAGGAATGAGTGATGATGTTTTAGGCTGACCAAGAAGTAGGATTAAACAATTACATTTATGATTTTTTTTTTGTTTTTAATGAATGCTAACTGAACAAATATGTTGGGCAGATTATCTGAATGTATTTGGAACTATAAATAAAAATCCAGTATTGGCGTATGATCTTTACATGATCCTTTTGTTTATTAATGAAGTTGGTTCCCACATAACCGGTTTGAGAACATGTGTTGAATTTGCTTACTGTTAAATACCTACCGAATACAAAGTTGTCAGGTCTAAATATCTGTCCAAATGGTCCTGATCTTACAGAGTCCATTGTTCCGGGTTCCAAATCCACAAGGATTGCGCGTGGTACGTATTTATTTCCTGAATGAAGGAAATATAATTATATTACTAATGTAACAAAACTATCCTAACATTTTGCAGGCACATGCTGCCTAATAATATCAAACATAATTGTATCTCTCTATTACTTGCTAATCATCAATATAAATGAGAGAATGAAGATTACCAGTGGCTTCATTGTAATATACATTGATTCTTTCCAGTTGCAGGTCACTGTCACCATGGTAACTGCCGGTGGGATCAATACCATGTTCATCACTGATAACTTCCCAGAACTAAAAAAAAAAAATAGTAATTTTACTATAAAATTTGCAGCTCTAAAAATGAATGTAGAAATAAGAGTGTATATATTATGTGGATTATAATATAATATAAAAACATTTAATTGGTAAACTGCAGACAAAAGTTCTCAAACGATCAGGAAAATAATATGTATTATGTTAGCTGATTTATTTTTTTTTTTTTTTGGAGAAATAGCCAATGCACGCATAATTGAAATGGAAAAAAAAAATAAAAAAATTAAATATGTAAAAGCAAATAATAGAAATGGTGTATATTTTTTTTAAATAAGAACAAATAAATGAATGATTTAATTTGTAAATATGGCTCTGCGTTCACCACACCCAAAGTAGTTGTCTGCAGCTAGCAGAGCCACCTAGCTGCACATAGTACATATACTATGCATCTTAGAAATTGATGTACACTGCACAGATTTTTCTCGGATCTTTTACCATCAGCTATTTTTATATACATTTCAGATACATCAGTTATTAATTTTACCATTCAACATTTAAAGTAAATTTTAGTCTACGTTTTGATCATCTAAAAATCACTTTCAGAGCAAAAAGCCACATAACAGTATTAGGCTACTTAGCAGCCACAATTCATGAATTCGGTTGGCAAGACGACTTTGTGTGAAAAGACTCATTTCCATGCCTTGCACAAAAGGCGATCCATGGAAGCACACAAAGACCTGACACACCTCCCCCATAGCAAGTGATGACGGTGGCTGGCAAATGGGGACCCCACCCAGCGTTTCGCCGCCCCCAATCCCCATTACAACCCTAATGTCTGAATATTGGGTTTTCATCCAATACTTAAAGTCATAGAAAATCTACAGATCAGACTGCATTTATCAATAATATTTTACAATACAAAACCAGACAGAAAATTGACAGAGCCATCCATCTTAAAAAAATCATAAACATAAAACATGATCTATAAACATAATATAAAGTATAATGTTTTACAGGCTATGCATTAAATATAGAATCACCCAATAAAGTAGCCATTCAATGAAACCTATTCTGCAAGACATTTACCCTCTTAAGCTGGCCATACACTATTAGAATTACAAACGAACATTTGTACGAAAATTTTCTGTACATTCGATGACTTGACTCGTGTTGTTAGAAAATACTTCATTTCATTTGCGCTTAAAAATCCATTTTGGATTGCATGGACTTTTCTGAATGAAACTACATTCGCTGTTAGAAATGTGTAAACAATTTTCCATCCTGCCCTTTCAAATTTTCTTGTCAGTGGAAAATGAACGTCGATTTGACCCCACCAACGACAAATCAAAGGAATGTTCTTAGAATTAATATTTTCCCAACATAAATAGTTTATAACTAGTTAATGGCCAGCTTGTAGGCAAGCTTACTACAGAAATAGTCTGGATGAATATGACCACCTACTACAAGCAAGTAGGTTATTTTGTAGGGGTGTCATCTTGTTCCCTTTACACCCCAACACAACCAGCTCCAGAATCGGCTTCACTGGTCCAGTATGGAGAGCAAACGGGATCTGTGTGATCAGGGCTGCATTAGAGAGCCATTTATTGTAATCCAATTTATTAGATGTACAGTGCCCAGTATGTATTAAATACAAGGGATCAGTGTGATCATTAGAATCAGATAGTCGTGTCATATAATCCAATGTATCAGAGATGAAGGGGAACCCTATTGTATACAGTGCCCAGTATGTATTAAATACAGGGGATCAATGTGATCAGGGGTTCATAGAGAGCCATATATTGTAATCCAATGTATCAGAGATGAAGGGGGAAGCCTATGGTACACAGGGAGATCAGTGTGATCATTAGAATCAGTCATGTCATGCAATCCAATGTATCAGAGATGAAGGGGGAAGCCTATGGTACACAGGGAGATCAGTGTGATCATTAGAATCAGACAGTCATGTCATGCAATCCAATGTATCAGAGATGAAGGGGGAAGCCTATGGTACACAGGGAGATCAGTGTGATCATTAGAATCAGACAGTCATGTCATGCAATCCAATGTATCAGGAAATGAAAAGGGAAGCCTATTGTATACAGTGCCCAGTATGTATTCTATACAGAGATAGGTGTGATCAGGGGTTCATTAAAATCAGAGAGCCATATATTGTAATCCTGTGTATCAGAGATAAAGGGTTGAGCCTATTGTACATAGTGCCCACCCAGTATGTATTTTTTAAGGGGATTGGTCTGATCATTAGAATCAATCAGACATGTCATGTAATCCAGTATATCAGAGATGAAGGGGAGAGCCTACAGTATACAGTGCCCAGTATCTATTATATACAGGGGATTAGTGTGATCAGGTCAGGGGTTCATAGAGAGCCATATCAGAGATGAAGGGGAGAGAGCCTACAGTATACAGTGCTCAGTATATATTATATATAGGGAGATCAGTGTGATCATTAGAATCAGACATGTCATGTAATCCAATGTATCAGGGATGAATGGGGGAACCTACAGTATACAGTACTCAGCAGGGGTGGACTGACCATTTGGGAACTCGGGCACTTCCCGAGGGCCCGAGGTCAGTAAGGGGCACCATGAGATGCCCCTGGTACCTTTCATAGGCTTTTTTTGGGTGTGGTTTGAGTCTTGTCGAGGACACAGGGGCACCATGATCCCCTATTGCCCGGAGGCCCCATGAGTTGTCAGTCCACCCCTGGTACTCAGTATATATTACATACAGGGGATCAGTGTGATCGTTTAAATCAGTCATGTCTGTATCAGAGATGGAGGGGGGAAGCCTACAGTATGCAGTGCCCACTATATATTACATACAGGGGATCAGTGTGATCGTTAGAATCAGACATGTATTCCAATGTATCAGAGATGGAGGGGGAGCCTAATGTACATAGGGAGGAGTAGATTGTTCTTAGTACATGGCACTCAGGAGTTCCCCCTGCATTCTACAAGGAAACAACCCTTTCTGAATACAATGAATCATTGATGGGAGATCGGCTGTGTGTGAACGAATCGAATCGGCTGTGTGTAGAACGAATCATTGATGGGAGATCGGCTGTGTGTAGAAGGAATCAGATGGGACGAATCATTGATGGGAGATCGGCTGTGTGTAGAACGAATCATTGATGAGAGATCGGCTGTGTGTAGAACGAATCATTGATGGGAGATCGGCTGTGTGTAGAACGAATCATTGATGGGAGATCGGCTGTGTGTAGAACGAATCATTGATGGGAGATCGGCTGTGTGTAGAACGAATCATTGATGGGGGATCGGCTGTGTGTAGAACGAATCATTGATCAGAGATCGGCTGTGTGTAGAAGGAATCATTGATGGGAGATCGGCTGTGTGTGTAGAACGAATCATTGATGAGAGATCGGCTGTGTGTAGAACGAATCATTGATCAGAGATCGTGTGTGTAGAAGGAATCATTGATGGCAGACAGATGTTCCTGTCATGGCGAGCTATGAGGGCGGAGGACACGTGTGGATGTTATAGGAGATGACAGGTCGTGCCCATTCACAGTCTATTACCTTGGCCCCGATCTGGTTGCCACACTGGCCAGCCTGGATGTGTACGATCTCCCTCATGGTTGTAGTGTGTGTGGGTGTCGGTAGTATAGGGAAGATCGGACGATGTGATGATGGATCCCTCTCCCCTGATCCTCTCCTGTGCACTGCTGTGATGGTGTCTGGCTGCCGGCTCCCCCCTCCCCAGACTTCCATATATATATGGGGGGTGCTCAGCCCTCCCTCCCTCTGCAACTCTCTTAGGATCAGCCAGCCTCAGCCCATTCACTGACACTCTGCTGGATGATGTAATGGGGATGAGGCAAGGGGAGGGGCTGGAGCTGGGTTGGAGCCAATGAGAGATGATTAAAAGGGTGGTATGGGGGTCTGCATTGTCTTCCCATCATAGGGCAGAGGGGATGTAGAGTAAGGGGGGGATCATAGCACAAGGAATGGGGGGGGGGGATTATGCAAGGATGACCACTGATTCCATTTAAAGACAACCACCCCCAACCTTCTGCCTTCATCATCAGGGATCATCTAACAGCAGGAGGTTGCAAGTTGCTGCTGAAAAAAGAGCAGCCAAGTCACATCATCAGAGTCTATGGGGATGGAGGAAAGACCATGGCTACACCTACACTGTGACAGCTGGCCAGGAAAATGGGGGCTATTTACTAAAATTGCATGGTACAAAATCTGGTGCAGCGCTGCGTAGCAACTAATCAGCTTCCAGGTTTTATTGTCAAAAGCTGAAGTTAGAAGCTGATTGGCTACCATGCACAGCTGCTCCAGATATTGTACTCTGAAGTTTTAGTAAATGAACCGCAGTGTGTTATAATCCTGTCCTGATAAATAGTTTATTCTGATGACAGTATGCATGTAGTGATATGATCACATCTGTACCTGAATGAATATATAGTATAGTGGTAGACCTACTGCTTCTGAAAATGCTAGTTACCTGGCTGTCATCCTGATTCCATGGCTTCACAGCAACTCAGCGGACCAGGAGTTGTGTCTTCACTGACTTTCCTGTATGCTTGATCCGCGTCGCTACGTAACAGATTAATAGTTGTAGGAATCTGGTATTCTTAGAACGGAGATCAGCAATTATTGCCTGGGGGAGCTTACAATAGTCATTTTTTAATAGCATGGTTTAAAACTTTATTAAAGTGACACTAAACAATATCCCTATTCTTTCCAAACAACCATACACATTCCACTGCTTGATGGTCCTGTGATCTTATTTCATGAAATAGTTTCTTACAGCGGTTTTCTGCCTCTTATTAACATCCTATGTGGGCTCCCAAACCTCTCATTTCCCCCTCACTTCAGTTTGTTTGGAATAAGCAGTGCATGCTAACGATGGTCATGTGCAGTGCTCTATGCACACTACATATAGTTCATAGTACATCTCAGAAGCAATCAAGAGAGGGTGACAACATTCCTATGTACTGTGGAACCATGGAGAATGAATGTAGCCACCTTCTAATAGGATGTCAGCTCACAGCAGCAAAAGTAAATACATTTTTCGAGGAGGCTGAGAACAATAGAAGGGTCTTTTCTGAGTAAAAAAATAGGTAGTAGGGTATATATTTTTATTTTATTTATTTATTACAGGTACTTATATAGTGCCATGAATTTACACAGTGCTTTACATATATAGTACATTCACATCCGTCCCTGACTCTCAAGGGGCGTACAAGCTAAGGTCCCCAACTTACATTCATACATACACATACTAGGGCCAATTTAGACAGGAGCCAATACACCTACCAGCATGTCTTTGGAGTACCTGGAGGAAAACCACACAGGCACAGGGAGAACATGCAAACTCCAGGCAGGTGGTGCCGTAGCTGGGATTCAAACCAAGACCCTAGTACTGCCAGGCAGAAGTGCTAACCATTTTTTGTAAACCAAAATTTAGTGTCACCTAAAAGTCTAGCATCGGTGGTAGTGTTATTGCTTGTCCCCATCCCTGTCACTGACACTAGTGGATAGGTTCATTCCTGCAAATACTGCGAAAGCTGGCTCTGATGTAAAATGCAGAAGTTGGCACCTGTGATTATATACTGTACAGTGGCAGTTGACAAGGAAAGGGTAACTGAGAAGATGCAATGGTAAGTAACAGTGAAAAGGTTAAGACCCTCATGTAGCTGGCAATGAAAGGGTTAGTGCAGCATATGCAGTGGCTTGGGACAGCAAAGGGATGACGTTTTACAATACAGCAATGGTTGGCAGCAGTGATGGGGTTAAATAGAACAGATGGAATGAAAGTTGGTGGCAAAGACATGACGCCCATAACATGTAATACAATGAGACTTAAAGGGGAGCTCTCCCACTGTCTGGCATTAGACCAGTTCTTTGGATTAGCCATTCCCTTTGAGCATATCAGTGCACCAGCTATGTTTCTGTGTATTTGCAGTGTTTGGTGACTAAGGCTAAATACACAGGCAAATGAACAGTATTTGTTTTTTTTTTGTTTTGTTTTTATTGTTTTGGGTTTTTTTTATGAAGATTTGGAAAAAGTCCTGCATGCTGCATTCTCATGTGTTTTCATTCATAGTTTTATTGAATAGGATCCTTGAACACTACAGATCAAAGCATGCCAAAATGCATGGCAGCAAAGATTGCAGTGTACATTCTGATGGGAAAACTCTTGGAGACCAAGAACTACACTCACAGGCAGACTGACCATTTGGAAACTCGGGCAGTGCCCGAGGACCCGGGATCAGTAGGGGGCCCCATGAGATGCCCCTGGTACCTTTTTCATAGGCTTTTTTGAGTTTGGGCAAGGACACAGGGGCCCCATGATCCCCTATTGCCCGGGGGGCCCCATGAGTTGTCAGTCCGCCCCTGTACACTCATCAGCCTCTTTATTAGGTACACCTGTTCAATTGCTTGGTAACACAAACTGCTAATCAGCCAATCACAGGGCAGGAACTCAATGCATTTAGACATCTAGACATAGTGAAGATGACTTGCTGAAGTTCAAGCCGAGCATCAGAATGGGGAAGAAAGGGAATTTAAGTGACTTTGAACATGGCATGGTTGTTGCTGCCAGACAGACTGGTCTGAGTATTTCAAAAACTGATCTACTGGGATTTTCATGCACAACCATCTCTAGGGTTTACAGAGAATGGTCCGAAAAAGAGAAAATATACAGAGAACAGAGGATGTGTGGATGAAAGTGCCTTGTTGATATCAGAGGTCAGAGGAGAATGGGAAGACTGGTATGAGATGATAGAAAGGCAACAGTAACTCAAATAACTATAGAATACTATCTCTGAACACAAAACATGTCGAACCTTGAAGCAGATGGGCTATAGCAACAGAAGACCACTCTGGGTGCCACTCTTGTCAGCTAAGAGAAGGAAACAGTGGCTACAATTTGCACAGGCTCGCCATAACTGGACAATAGAAGATTGGAAAATGTTGCTTGGTCTAATGAGTCTCGATTTCAGCTGCACCATTCAGATGGTAAGGTCAGAATTTGGCGTAAACAACATGAAAGCATGGATCCATCCTGCCTTGTATCAATGGTTCAGGCTGGTGGTTGTAGTGTAATGGTGTGAGGGATATTTTCTTGGCACACTTTGGGCCCCTTAGTACCAACTGAACATTGTTTAAATGCCATGGCCTACCTGGATGTTGTTGCTGGCCATGTCCATCCCTTTATGACTACAGTGTACCCATCTTCTCATGGCTACGTCCAGCAGGATAATGCACCATGTCACAAAGCTCAATTCATCTCCAACTGGTTTCTTGAACATGACAATGAGTACTCCAATGGCCTCCACAATCACCAGATCATAATCCAATAGAGGACCTTTGGGATGTGGTGGTACAGGTGCTTTGCATCATGGATGTACAGCCGACATATCTGCAGCAACTGTGTGATGCTATCATGTCAATATGGACCAAAATCTCTGAGGAATGTTTCCAACACCTTGTTGAATCTATGCCATGAAGAATTAAGGCCAAAGGGGTCCAACCCGTACTAGCAAGGTCTACCTAATAAAGTATATCCTAAAGGTTGGTGGTTCTAGACAGGATGTAGATATAAAGTTTTAATGACTGGAAAAACCACAAAGGTAATGAACAGTGTGAACAGTTCTAAGCAGATGCAACATTTCCACGGCATGGTTAGACCCTGGCACCCAGAGTCCATTCCCCAGGCTTCCCACTGACTGCCCTCTGGTCTAAAATGTAATATGTGTTGCCATCATTCCAAGTATTATCCTATTTGTGTTTTTGCAGACCATTGGTTCTGGGAGTTGGTTTTTATACACCTTCACATATAATGGAATTTTCAAACAGTTCAAAATACCTTTTTTGAAGCAACAGTGAAACATCTGATTTTTAATTTCGTTCATGTTGTCAGATCCATCTTATGCCATATTCCTGCAGAAGCTGTGTTTGGCATTATTGTGACATGAGTCTTAGAGCCCAGGGGCCCAGTTGCAATCTCATACACCCCAATAAAACTGATATTGGTAGGTTGGAGAAAGCACAACCTCAGGACTTTAGCAGGCATAAGTCTGGTAAAGGAGAACTAGTGGAAGCCAAGCATGTGGTCCTGGCCACCTGAGCATGAGAAGAAGCAGGAAAATGTGCACATAGAACAGTGTTGCTCAACCTTTTTTCAATCAAGGCACCCTTTAAAATTCTGCACAATCTTGATGCACCCGATTCCTAAAATGTAAAAAATTGTAAATAATAGTTTCGTACAATGCAGCAAAATCCACACATATAGGACACCCAATGTTAGAGGTAATTTATTCTTCCAACGTCAACACACATTTACACACTGGTACTGACTAGTATTCCAATGTTTCTCTTCTCCCTCATTTTCTCTTCCTCAAGCAGCTATTGTGACCCCAGTGCTAATGGAAAGGGGCAGATGAGGGCAATGAAGAATGCTGTGCAGGCAGTCCATGTCCTCCTTATCAACTTATGACATCATAGGTTGTTAGGCATCTGATAGCTGGAAGGTTGTAACAGTGCACAATGAAAACCTGCACTTTGTGCAACTAAAAAGGCAGGCTTGATCCACCTGCTGGTTTGTATACAATTTTTGGCCA